GGGGAGGTGAGGAGCGGCCAGCGCAGCTCTGGGCTGCACAGAAGCTGTGTAGCCGTGTCAGCAGGTTTTTCAGATAACTGGGTGGCACTGAGGGGCTGGAGCCCCCTGCGAGGGTCTTGGCCGTGACCTCCAGCCCATCGCTGCAGTCCTTAAGCAAAACTGCATCCGTGCCTGCTCTCTCTGCCAGCCTCCACATTACGTTGTATCTTCTCAAAGCCCCGCGTTTGTTTATTATGCCCAAACTGTGTGGTTCAGTTGCAAAAAGGAGCGGTAACAAAGCAGTTTGTCGTTTCCCAGGGACTTTTGGGGAAGACTTCTGTTGCAGCTGCTCCAGCTGCAATGTGCAGGAGGTCTCTCGCGTTTCAATGACGCAATGTGGCTCCTGCCTGTTCCCTGGGCTCCTGCCCGCCGCGTTGCAAACCTGCCCGTAAGGCTGGGTGCAGAAACATGGCTCAAGGGCTGGCGGCTGGAGAGCGGGGGGAAAAAGCGGGACTGGGAGAGGGAGGCGTTAGAGAGGAGCTGGGCAAGAAACGGGGAGGTGCCGGGCCCTGAGTCTGCACTGCCGTGGAAAAGGGCACAGGATGGAGCTGCTGGTGGGTGCACGGCTGCCTCCGTGGTGGTGCTTGGGGACCTCGTGAGATCCCAGTGCTGGCTGTTGTCTGCAAGGTTCTGGCCGCATGCCTAAGCCCAGATGCAGACCAGGCTGTAAATATTAGCTTCTGGTCTTTAAAACTAGAAGCATTTCCACACTCTGTGAGCGCAAGTGCCCGGCAGGAGCCATGTCGGATGTTTCGGCCACATCCCGTTGTGGTGATACATTCCCCCTCCTCCTCTGGACCGCTTTACAATCACGGCGTCTCCTGTCAAGGCTTGGCCTTTGAGCAATGAGTCCGGCGGCCGAGCGCCCCTTGACCGCAGCAGGCACTCTTGCGTGGCCGAGGTGGGGAACAAGGGTGCCTTGACTGCACCTGGCATCATCACTCACCCCCTGACAGCCTTGGAACACATCATTGTGGATCGTAACTCGGGCGGATCGGTACAGAAGGGTCGTGCCCGTCTGGCTGGAATTTATGAGAACTCAGCAATCGCTGACCTGAATTGTGGCCAGAATGGAAATTCACTGATGCCTAAAGTCAATCACCTCACAACCCTATAAACAGCGGTACCAAGGAAGACCCTCCAAGCTCTCCTGGACTGTGGCAGGCAGCGCCGTTGCCTCCCTCCGAGCAGGACGCCTCTCAGAGCTGCGAACTCTTAAGTTTGCACGTAGAGGCCTGGCAACGGGACCCGGGCTGATCTCCGGCGCCTTTCACTCCATCAGCTCGACCTTCGCCCGTTGAGACGCTCATCTGAAGTGAGTATTTCACTGAACTCGAGGGGAATCGTTACCAGGTACCTTTATATATGCATATTGCGTGTATTCCACTGAACTCGAGGGGAATCTTCACTAGGCGTGTTGTGTGTGAGTGTGAATCGATTCAAATATTGTAGTAAACCCTATTTAATCAATTTGTAAATGCTAAATTAACCAATGATTAAATTAAATTCTGGTGATTCTCTCTTAACTGTGAACAAACCCTAAACTGCTGTGAGACAGATGTAATCCTTCGACATAAACCGTTGACCAAGTCTGAGACTAGGACTGGATCCAGCCGCACCTAGGCTCCTCTCCGAGGAGTCCCGGACGCAAGGGGGTCCTTTCTGAACCTCGTGACTCAATGGGAGGGCCCCCTCTTCCCCCTTGTATTTTCTTCTACCTCAATTTTCTCTCTCTTTATGTGTATATTCCATTCATTTTATAAGTAATAGAGTGAACCTTGCCATCGAACTTTGTTAAATCACACTTTCATAAATTTCTATTAAAATCACTTTTGCAAATGTCTTTGATGGTGATTCTTTAAGTGACCTAACCACTCATTAACGACAAATTGGCGTAGTCGGCAGGATGGCAAGTAGTATCACTGATTACTTACAAAAAAATGGAATAAGTCCACTTCCCAAATTCTCGGATGAATGGGCTCGTGGTAACTGGCATGACTGGGAGGCTGGGGAAAAACAATGACAGGTGGCCAGGGCTCATGTAAAAGAGGGTAAAGGAAAAGGAATTATTTGCAAAATGCAAATACCTGCTTAGAAGCTACCTGTCAGGATAGGAAAAAATTTTATAGAGAAACACAATCTGAGACAAGAAGTAAAAGGCAGAAAGAAAGCTGAGTTATTACCATCCCTGCAAATTGAACAGCTATGAAAACAGGTACAGCAGGAAAGGGAAGAAAAGCGAAGGACGGCAGAGGGTTGAAATGATGCTAATGCGGGCTTCCATTATGGGAGTGATCGGCTCCCATCATGGGAGTGAGTGCACGGCACCGCGGTGGTCTGGCAGCTGCCGAAGGCCGCGCGTGGGGCAGGGAGATGCCAAACCGCTGCAAAAAAAATCAAGTCTCAGTCCATCCTCTGCTGCTCCCCCCTCTCCGCAGTGAGATCATGAACGTGCCCATGTGTGGGGTGCCCCACGGCACCACGGCACGTGCGTTAGCCTGGAGGGTCCACATGAAGCTCCCAGGCGTGTGGTGGCCTGAGAAAGGCTCTCAAGTTCAAGAGAGCAAACAGCCTGGCGCGGTGGCTGTGCTGGCAGAGGCTGCCCCTCGCCGACGCGGCGCTGCGCAGGGGGTGACGGCGGCGGGGGCCAGGCCAGGCTGCCAGCGGGCGCGCTGACGCTGGCCTGGACCCCTCTGCGCAGGTTGTCCCCCAGGACCATGCTGAACGTGGTGCTGCTGTGCTGTGGGCTGCTGCAGGGGATCCAGGCCGTCCTCGCCGCCGACCTCAGCCACGGCCACCTGCAGAAGGTGAGTGGTGGGCTGGAGGGGGCGGACAGAGACCACTACTCCAGCCTGCTGCAGAAAGTCAAGGAGGTGTCTGCGGAGCCAGCGGGTGAGTCCTCCCACTGTCCCCCACCAGCCACGCGCTGGCATGCCCGGGGCCCCCAGAACAGAAGTGGGGACCCCACACCCAGGGTCAGATGAAGGGGATCCCCTTAAAGCAGCACAGCTTCTCCTGTCACTGTGAGAGCAGCCTCCTCCCTCCCGCTGCCCTGGCGTCCTCCAGGGAGTGGGGGACTTTTTTTGGGGGGGGCACACAACCACGGGGAGCAGAATCACAGCAGACCCCCAGCAGCCTCCTTGTCCAGCCTCTCTGTATCTCGCAGGAGCTCTCCCCAGGCTGGGGTCTGAGCACACGACCCTGGGGGTCCAAGAAGCTGATGGTGACCTTGTGCAGAGAGGCAGCATGCTGGAACCGCAGGTAACACTCCCTGAGCTTTCTTACAGACGCCTCAAAGAGCGGGGCAGCCTTGGGCCACACCAGCCTTCTCTGCGCCCCTGGGGCCAGGGGTGGTTTGGAACCCAACACGGTGCTGCCAGGGAAGCGAGTATTTGTTTGTCGCCTGCTGGGGAGCAGCCAGGGCTGGGACAAGCTGAGGCTGCCCAGGCTGCAAGAGGCTCCAGCACTCGAAGGAGGGTGGTCCAAGCCTGCACTCCTGCAATCCGTTTAATTAACCTCAAGCACAGCCCAGGAAGCCTCTGCAGAACCGGAGCTCACCGGGCAGTGCTGTGTCTTGCCGGGTTCAGACCCTGGTGCCTCTGTTCGGGCAGAAGGCATGGCGCCCTTCACTAAAGTCAAGGCTGCACTTCAAAATAAATGTGTGCATAAAGGCCTTGAGACATGGTGGACGAGGCAGTGATTGCCTGCAGGGAGCCCATGAGGCTCAGCACTGATTTCCAACAGCCTGAGCCCAGGGTTGAGCATGACAGAGCTCTGCTGGTGGCAGAGGCAGGTTTCAACAGCCACTCTTGGCTCTCTCCCACGCAGTTCTTTATTGCCGGCCCAGTGGGT